ACATACATACATACATACATACATACATACATACATACATACATACATACATACATACATACATACATACATACATACATACATACACTCAAGGCCTCAGACACACATACATTACCAATCTTCTTTCAAAAGAACAATTCTAGACCTGATTTTTTTCCTTTTTCTTTTCTCAGTCTTACTCACCTTCCATCCCGTAACTCCCAAGCAAAACGAGCCTGCGCTACTCACACTCACAAACCAGAGTCTGTCCCAGCGGCTGGCATCTGTCTTCTTCTTCTTCCCCGGCCGGACCCTATCGGCGAGGGGAGAAAATCGAAGCCCGCCACCGGCCACAAGAGGAAAGAAAGCAGAAAATGGAGGTTTATCACAACTAAAAACCACGAGTACGTCCCTCCAGCGACCGAGCCGACAATAAACTCTCCCCGTCTTATTACAATTCTTGAAATTCTAGACAGCTCGCTCCAGCTTTTCGTAGCCCGAGGTCAGATCGAGAGGCCGGAGCAGTGGAGGCAGAAAACGCGGCCCAGAATAAGCAGAGAATAGAGGTAACGTCTGGCTGGTTCGCTATGCACTCTCTGTCTCTCCCGTCCGCCACCGAGCCCAATCGGGCTTAAAACATTGCCTCCGGGCCACTCACTGTATTTGAACAAATTAGAGGAGCGGGTGGAGGGGAATTTTCTGTGTGACAGCTCTGAAATTTGGGGAGGCCGCCTGGGGGCGCCACCAGCAATTATTACCTAATCCGGCGGACAAAAGAGTGGCCAGCCCTCGGAGTGTTAATGTAAGCTAGGGGGCGCTGGCGACTGAGGGGATTCTGAGGACCAACTCTTGTTCACTGCTACATCCCCCTAGGGGAGGATAGGGGCTGCTTGAGTTCTCTCCTGCTCCTTTTCATAGAAGGAAAAAGGGGGGACTGGCTGGCCCGAGATTTATTTACGTGTCGGCGAAATAGCACAGCTCTTTCTGCGATCTCAGGGTTTGATCTATTGGCTGTGGTGATCTCGTTAGCGCGCCTTGTTTGTCTGATCCGACACCCACCCCGTGGCGGCTTGTTGGTTACCTTGGCTTGACGCTGGTCGTGTCTTGATGAGTAGAAGTGTCCCGTTTATTGATAATCTCTTCGCACACCTGTCCCTCTCCCCCTCCCCCTAACAACT